CGCGCGATCAGATTAGAACCCCACACTTTCGGAGTCCAAATCAGATCTCGAGGAGCTGTCCAATCAAGTGACTGGACGATGAATTGCCGTGATTAGAAACCTGCCCAGATTCAGTACATCCTACATTCTCGTAGAAACATCATTCTGCCAGCTGCAATGGCACTCTTTCTCTGTTGAACTTCACTTCTTTCACTGCTGAGCACTCGTGACTGTAAATGAGGATAATAGCGAAGAATTAAAAGCAGATTGCTTCACATTGCTGTCCAGTTTTTCATCGTCACCAGTAACAAGGTTCACTTCCGGCATTGCTAAGGTCTCTTTAATCAAATCTCAAAAAATCGCCAGGTAATTTTTGTCTCAGTGCTTAATTATTTGTTCGAGTACGAATTAGATGCTAAATAATTAATTTTTTGGGTTTTGTCGCACAGCTTGGGGAGGGTGCATCGTTACTCTGAGTTAAGCGTGCATGAAAACTTTGACAGTTGAAGGATTACCCTGTACAGTTTGAAATAATATTATGAAAAACAGTTTTCATGACTGTGTTGGTTATATCAGTATACTGCAAACAACGCATACATTGTAAAGGTATTAAAGCTTTTCGTCACGAAGCAAAGTTTTACTTTAAACCGACGCTTTGACAATGCCTCGTGAGCCCCGCCCCGCTCCAACATCTACTCAGAACTGCGGAAAAATTTCATCTGTTCTATCAGGGTTATAAACAATATCGAACAGCTGGAAAGAAGCAGACTATAGGAAAGAAACTAGACAAAATGGCGGTCACATGTGTACTGCTTCTGTTGATTGATCGGTTCTATTCGAGCAGTGTGGAGCAGAAAAGCTGCACAAAATGGAAGGTCACCAACTAAGCATCTTGTTCTGGAAATGTTTGATCCATGAACTCAAAAAATTCATGTGAAAGGCCTGAAACATCGGTTGTAAAGCTGCCTCCTTTCTGACAGTCCAAACTTTTGCCTCGAACTCTGACTTAATTGTAGTTTAGTACGTTGTGCATGTGCCAGAGCAAGTTGATTGTAGGCACGTTGAGGCAACGAGTATGGCCGGAATGCGCCAATTACCTTCCTCCAGTGTCCACGCTTTATTACCTCCGTAACTCGACTGAAAATGTAGAATGATGTTGCTTATTAGGAGGGCGAAATTGCTGTGATCACAGGTGTCGACATCGATCTTTCTGATGGGAACTGCCGCAGCCAGGGTCGTTGGTCGTTCTTCCAACACGGTTGCATGGGTGGCAACGACAGCTGCGGATTCGTTGGTGCTGCGCGGTTGAACGGGAGTGAAAGGTCTCTCGTGCGTGGTGGTGCCGATGAACTCGATGGAAGCTTCTTCGTCGTCCACATGTCGTTCGGTCGACCGAGCACGACTGCACGGCCCTCGATGGATCACTCGCAACCTGCACGTTTTCCCGTCGATCACATGGACACTTCAGTTTCCTGACAGCCTTACCTTTTGTTCTCGAGGCAAGCTTCCCTGTGCAGGTGACAGTGCGACGCGTACGTCTGACGGTTGGATCCGCACACCGGGTGATTGTCCTGCGGACACGACGATAAGCATTCACAGATTGCCACGTCATCTTTGAAAACGCAGTGCTCTCCTCTTCGACAACTGACCGTTTCGCACAGTTCTAAATGACGCGTTAGAAATCATTTTTCGACAGAGACAACGGTCTAACGATGCTCGGCTTTGAAGAAGAACATCTCATTATAAAAAGAGGATGCAATGCAGTGTACTGTAATTCACGGTTTTGATTTTTTTGCAATGCACACGGCTAGACGTCAATATGTAAAAGTTCATAATATGTTTGCACTCGGCATACGTCTTCTGGATGCAAACCTACCAAGCGCGGCGAACCATAAGAGGACTTGCGAACTCAGCCAACCAACCTTTCAATTGAAGAAGGCTCGTCAGACACGAGCCGAAACATTGGTAATAATCAATCATCCGATTGACGATTTTATTGCGTTGTGTAATAAACCGTTTTTACGATATTTTTCGTGCATACAGTATTATTCGGCACTCTTTGTAGATGCGTAGAGTATTTTATAAATAAAGTACTATGCATATTACTGCATAAGTTGCTACGAAGTAGCTTACATGTTACTCTATAATAATATTTCTAAAGTGATATGCATGCATTATCATACTTAATGCAGCAAAAATGATATGTAATCATGTAGGTAGTAATGAGTCTAATTCTACCTACGCAGTACTAGCACAGTACTATCATTATCAAATTACTCACTGCTACACAGTCATCTATTACACATCAATACATACTGTTGCTACAAGGCACCTTGAAATGCTATACCATATGATATTATGTGTATAGTGTTATGTTATGCTGCTAAGTATAATACTAGGCAGTACAAGTTATTTCACTGAGTTCAAAATCTTCCATTATAGGCGTTTTCTCAAATTTCTTAATACTATGTCATAATAATAAAATGATATACTTATAGAACTGGATCAACA